TGTTTGTGGTGCGTGTGTGTGTGTGTTTGGCAACACCTCTGCTTTTCAGCACTTACATCTCATTATTTTTCCCCCCTGTTTACTGAAGGCCACCCACTCTCTACTTCTTAGCACCAAAATCCACAATTAATTATAGATAATAATACTAGATAGCGTTCGTATAGCGCAAATCCCCGCTCAACAGCAAGCTCTATGCGCTTCACAATCTATACTATTACCCCAGCAGACCTGAGAGCATTCTGAAACAAACTCAACTTCCTGGGAAGCATACAGTGCAAGCAGCTATTTATAGGCGCTAAAACACTAACGTACTGACAAGATCTTTCGCCGTCTATGGCCGGGTACCCATTCACACCTGGGTGAAGCGAGGAAAATTCATGCAAAGTGCCTTTCCCAAAGACTCCACACATCGGGCCCGCGGCTCGAACCCCCAACCCTGCAACCGCGCGATTGCGAGTCCGGTGGCCTAACCTCTAAAATTAAATGATTTTTACTTGTTTGTTCTCATTTTCTCAAAGTATTCCATTCAAGGATTTAAAATTTTCAGTTTTGAGAAACCCTGTTAGTTACATAATGACAGAAATGGCAAATTAGTGTGAAACCTGACTATCTGGAGGACCTTTTTCGAGAGCTAAAAACTCAAACACTATCCATTCTGTCTATGAACTAATTACTTATTTGTAATCTGCACTCAAATCTTAAGAAACTGATGTCAGCTTTTCTTGAAATTGTAAATACGAATAATTTTATTACTTTTTAAAGACTTGCATATTAGCAGATGAAAAAAATATTCAAAATAGAAACGTAAAAAAAAATCATTAAAAATATTTTTTTTTCCTCCAAATTTAGAAAAAGCTAGCGTCATTTTATTTGAAATTTCCTGGTGCACTTACCCTCCAAACTTCCTGTCTTTATCTTGGATGGTTTTTGAGTTTTTAGCTTTTAAGGCCTAGAAATGAACCTTTTGAGGAATGGTGTAAAGTGATCAATTCAGAAATAAATAGCATTTGTGTAGCGCATAGGATCCCAGCTCAATATCAAGTTCTATGTGCTTCACAATTTACAATCTATCTTGAATGCTTTCTTTTCAATCCAATATATAGATATATAGATGGTAAATTTTCTGTCTCTCCCTCCCCCCC